ATAGAGTATTATGGAAGTGAGGGAAGGGAAAGCTCACTTGAGAAAAGGCTTCAGGAAGAAGAGTATGAAGAAGTCATGTAGGTAGGAATGCATAAAACCAGGCAGAAGATGATTGGACAGTCTGTCTTTGGCTGATGGTTAATGGAAGATAAGTCTTGGCTTGTTGATGACAGGTCATGGAGGCCCTTGGTTGCCAGGTAAGGCTTGCACTTTATTGGATATGCAGTGAAGAGCTGTTGAAGATTCTTGAATGGGTGAAGAGAACATGAGTGGAGCTGTGCTTTATGAAGATTAATTCAAGAATTGCTTACAACATGAATTAGAGATTGATGGTTGGAAGATGATGTAGAAGGTTTAGAGAATACTCCACATTAGTTTAGGTGACATGAGTTAGGGGAATGACAAAGGACATGGAGAGGGAAATAAGGTGAAAGTCATGTTCCTTCTCAGCTGATGATCATGTGGACTTTGAAAGGAGAACCCCAGACAGTTGTGAAGATTCAAGCTTGGATGCCTGAGAAGACAGTCATGGCTTTAACACAAACAGGGCAGCTAAGGGAAGGAGGAGGTTTGGTGAAAAGATAATGAGTTCAGCTATAAGTAAAATAACCAGAGAATATTCAAATGGAGACAGCTGTTAAATGACAGTGAAATTGAGAAAACAAGAGATATAGATTTGGGGGCTATCCATGTCCATGTGGTAGTTGAAGCCATGATCACAAACGAACTTGGCAAAGGAGAAAAGCATAGAAATAAAAAGAGGGTGAAAAACAGAATTGTGAAAATTTATACATGAGTCATGGAAGGAAAAGTAAAAAAAAAAAAAAAAAAAAAAAAAAAAACGAAAGAAAACAATACTAGAAAAGAAGTCAGGGCAGAAGTACTCCTTAACAAAACGGAGTTCAGAGTCTCAGAAAATAAGTTTGGTAGATGCTTCATGGGGCATCTGACAAACTAATATCCCTCTTCTCTGAGAACCAATCCTCCCCCAACACATAGAGGGTTTGGGCCTGACAGCTATGTATGTACCAAATCCTCTGGCCATGGTTGATTTCACCTGAGTTCAACAACTGACTAAAGCTGGGCCAATTAAATTTTCTCCTTTGGGAATTGGAAATGAAGAAATAAAATGTTTTTCTATAAAGACTTGTGCATGGAGTAGCCATTTTCTGTCACGGGAACACAGAAGCAGAGGAAACCTGCCTTCTGAGAGAAAAGAATGAAGTGAGTTACAGAAAGAAGGAGAAATCAGACCAGGTGACCAGAAAGAGGGAGACAGTCTGAGAGGAAGTTCACTTTCCCATGATGATTATTTTGTTTCTTATGCATTTTATTCAATCCTCCAAAACCACCCCAACTCCAGCCCCATTCCTGCTGATACATCTCCACTATAGTCCCACCATCAAATCTATGATTTTTTCAACATTTGGATCCATTTCTTTTTCCTTTCTGTACAGGTAATACATGTTCTCCTTTCCTATCGAAAGCCATCTTCTCCACTTCTGATTTAAATTCTGTCCCTCTTGTCTCTCAGGGACTTCATTTCTGCAGTTATTATCTCCATCTTCTTCATCATCAAATTATTGATTTTTCCCGGTAATGTTTGAACATGCTGTTATGCCAACATTTATTTTAAAAGGCAAAACAAAGATTCTTCTGCCATCCCTTTCCATCTACAGTCCAAATTCTTTGATCTTGTCCCAGCAACACTTCTTGACAGAGATGTCTACATGTTACTTCTGATTTCCTATTTAATCCTATTAATCTACTATTTTCCTATTTAGTCTATTCCAATCTGGCTTCATGCCACTGAAAACTGCTAATCAACATCAACTGCCTCCATACTGCCAGACCCAGTGGATATTTCTGGGACCTCTTCCTATTCCAGCTTTTAGCAGTTTTCCACATAGCTGGTCAGGCTCAGTTCTTTAAAAAAAAAAAATCTTCTATAGGAGTCTAGGACACTGTACTCACCTGTTCTCTTTCCTACTTCTCTAACCACTACTGCTCAGTGCTCTTCAGGTTCTTCCTCCTCTAGTCCCCTCTAAAAATTGGGCTCTATTCTCTGCTTGCTTCTCTGTAAACTCATCTTCTTGGTAATCTTAGACATTCCCATGGCTTTAAATACTACAAAATGCTGGCAACTCCTAAATGAAACTCTCCAAGATTCATATTTGTATATCTAGTTGTCTGTTTGATATGTCAAGTCCCCATGAATACTTGAAGTGAATGTGTCTAAAATGGAACTAAAATCTTAATTTCCATATTCCTGCTTTCTCTTAACCTCTGAGAAAATTGTCCCCATTTTTCCCCCATTTCAGTAAATGGTTTCACCATCTATCCAGTTATTCCAAACAAGAAACCTAGACAATACTTTTGATTTCTCATTTTTCTCTCCACCATCACCCCTCCAACCCATCAGCTAGTCCTCTCATTTGTTCTTAATAAATAGATGTCTAATCCATCCACTTCTCTCCATCTCTTCTGCTGTTAATAACATTAAGTCAAACTACTGTCATCTCTTACCTAATCTATTGCTGCAGCTACTCAACTTGTCTCCCAGCTTCTACTCTTGCCTTCTTTCATTTAGTTTCTACTTATCAGTCAGGGTAAACTTGGAAATATGTTGAGCCACGTTTCCTGCTTAAAAATGTTCAGTGTCGGCCGGATGCGGTGGCTCATGCCTGTAATCCCAACACTTTGGGAGGCCAAGGCAGGTGGATCACGAGGTCAAGAGATCAAGACCATCCTGGTCAACATGGTGAAACCCCGTCAATACTAAAAGTACAAACATTAGCTGGGCATGGTGGCACGTGCCTGTAGTCTAGCTACTCGGGAGGCTGAGGCAGGAGAATCACTTGAATCAGGGAGGTGGAGGTTGCAGTGAGCCGAGATCGTGCCACTTCCCTCCAGCCTGGCAACAGAGTGAGACTCCGTCTCAAAAAAAAAAAAAAAAAGAAAAGAAAAAGGGGTTCAGTGTCTTCCAATAACGTTGCAATGAAATCCAAAGTCCTTAAAATACCTGACTACTTTTGCTCTACTCTCCTCCTCCCCTTTTCAGTTCCAACCACAATGCCTCCTTTCACTTCCCCTGAAACACTCCTGCCTGGCCTGCATACAGGTGTATCCTCTGCCTAAATCACTTCTTCTACCTCCCTGCTCCTCAATTCCCTTGAAATGCCACGTCTTAGAATGTCCTTCCTGAGTCCTCACCCATCACTAATAACCTATAATAATCTATCATTAAGTCAGTTTTTTTCCATCTATTTTGCTCATTAAAAGTTGTCAATAGACATTTGTTTACCTCCTAATGGCAAGTCTTTCCTACTAGATTGTAAAGTCTCTGGAGGTAGCGACCTTGTTTGTCTCTTCTGTTCACTGCTTGATCACTTAACACCTATGGAGTTCCTAGGATATACCACGTGTTCAATAATTACTTGTTATAACTTTACTTGTTGCTGATGGCTTCATCGTTCATTATTCCAGTCCTTGTACAGTCCTACTATACTTTCTCTGGAGAGTTTCCTATAGTCTTTTTTTTTTTTTTTGAGATGGAGTCTCGCTCTGTCGCCCAGGCTGGAGTGCAGTGGCCGGATCTCAGCTCACTGGAGTTTCCTATAGTCTTATACTCAGATCCCTTTTGTCATTTCAATAATTTGAGTAGGTTTCTGCTCTTATATCAAATGACCACTAATTGATGCAGCTTTGGAAAGGATAAGGTGGTCAGTAATGTCACATGCTGTTGAATGGGAAAGCAGTTTAAGAGCTAAGCAAAAAGCACTGGATCTCATCACTGATCATCTTCAAGCCAATAGTGTTCATAAAATATGGCCCAATTGAAGCCAGGTTACAACTAAGTTAACAAGATGGGTAAGAAGGTAGATGCATCAATGCAGAATATTCCTTTTAAGAAGTTTAACAGTTAAAATAAGGCATGATATAAAATGGGATCTTGGGGTTCAGCAGAACCAAAGAAAGTACATGTTAGTTTGGTTTAAAAGAAAAGAGAGGCCAGGCGCGGGGCTCACGCCTGTAATCCCAGCACTTTGGGAGGCCAAGGCGGGCAGATCATCTGAGGTTGGGAGTTCAAGACCAGCCTGACCAACATGGAGAAACCCCATCTCTACTAAAAATACAAAATTAGCCAGGCGTGGTGGCGCATGCCTGTAATCCCAGTTACTCGGGAGGCTGAGTCAGGAGAATTGCTTGAACCCAGGAGGCGGAGGTTGCGGTTAGCCAAGATCATGCCATTGCACTCCAGCCTGGGCAACAAGAGTGAAATTTTGTCTCAAAAAAAAAAAAAAGAAAAGAGAAAAAAATGTCTTGATATACCCATAAGCCAAAGAAGCCAAAGGAGAAAAAAATCAAGAAGTGTTTGAATGGGGAAGAAGATTAATAGATTTAGTTTCTATTAGCATTAGAGGATTTGATCAAGAGCACAACATTGACAAAAAGGCACAATGTTTCCCCTTCTACTACAGGAAGGAAGGAGGATAAGAGGTCAAAAGTAAGACAAAGTTTTGGATAGAGCAAAGGGAGGTTGAGTGTGGCCACTTCAGAAGGTAGCAAAGTCATCTACAAACCAATTGTCAAGGAGAAGATCAGAATCTCTTGAAAGACTTTTCTGAACCATACTTCCAACCCTTCATTCCATCCCTTACCTCCCTGCCCAAGACTTGCTTTCCACTACCACCATAGCAGACACTCACTGCTACAAAAGGCCATAGTGGCTGATTAAGTGTGCCTTACTTCTTTGATGGTGCTATGGTTTGAATGTTCGTCCTTTCCAAAACTCATGTTGAATTTTTTTTCCTTCTTTCTGCCCCCACCCCCTCATGTTGAAATTTAATTGCCATTGTAATAGTATTAAGAGGTGGCACATTTAAGTGGTGATTAGGTAATAAGGACTCTGCCCTTATGAATGGATTATTGCCATTATCATGGGAGTGGGTTCACCCCTTTTATTCATTCTATCTCTCTCTCTCTTTTTGCTCTTCCAGCATGTGACACCTTCTGCCATGGGATGATGCCACAAGAAGAACCTCACCAACTGCTGGCACCTTGATAGTGGACTTCACAGCCTCCAGAACTGTGAGCCAGTAAGTTTCTGTTCATTATAAATTACCCAGTGTGTGGTATCATTATAAATTGCCCAGACCGTGGTATTCTGTTACAGCAGCACAAAACAAATTAATACAGGAAGGGTGGAGTAGAAAACAGTACAATCAGTGAAGAGTAAGATAGTCAGAAGCGAATATAGGGTTGAAGAGCTCTGGCATCATGAGGAATATGACAAGGAAACAAAACTGTGTTTTCCAAACATGTGAGACTATCAGGCATATCTGGGTCCCTTGCTAAAAACACAGATTTCAGTCCCCTTTCCTGGAGAGTCTAATTCAGCTAGTCTGCTGATTGGAGGGTTAGGATTGTATAATTTTTAACAAGTTTCTCAGGTGATCTTTATGATCAGGCAAATTTGCAAAACAGTAGATTCGAAATAAATAAAAGTTTACCAAGTATAATTGCAGGACCAAAATATTATCTCCATTTTCAGCCAAATACATAGAAACATTGATACCTGACATCAATTCATGGAAATTACCAAAAGAAAACAGCTTTTAAAATTCTACCTGTAGAATTTAAAAAAAAAAAAAATATCTAAGAGGTCTATTCATTTTACATGATTTGTATCTAATTCTATGGTTCCAAATAATCTACAGTGGTATTTGAAAATATGAGACTGGGTTATAGATTTTTTTAATTATAGCAAATTTCACTGAGGAAAAGGGAAAGGGACCTGACTGGCTAACAGTTATTATTTATAATAATGAGTCAGATATTTTAAAGCCTGTTCTGCTTCTAGTTGCTTAACTCTCAGATTAATAAACTAAACATAGTAAAATCTAAGATTTTTAAATAAAATCTTGAGCACACTAGCAGTACAGCAGCTGAGAATAGATTCGGGTCCTTGAAAAATTTCTTTCCATTTCCTCCTAGAAAAACTGATTTGTATTGATACACAATAGTCGCAGCCCATTGTGGGACTGCTTTCTGGGACCACAGAGCCCCTCTAATTTGTACCAGTTTTTCTCCATTCTAGTTGATCCTGACCATCAGGTATAAATTAGTGCTAAACCAATATTAGCTGATACTTCCCCAGGTGTGGGAAGTGAGGAAACCTGATCACACGAACAAACACAACCCTTCCTGGCTACATTTAAAATAAGATGGCTATTATTATACCGTGCGGGAAAAAGAATTTTTTTGTTGTTTGTTTTTTAATCAATCTTATGCCACCTAAATTTGTATTAACTTGACATGGTGATATCAGTCATCAGTTAGAATCCATTTTTAGTTAGAGATTCCCTATCAACCTTCACACTTTTTTCATTCTTTCATGGGGTCTCCTCTTGCCCTTCCAACTTCTTCTCACCCCCAGCCATGCCATGTGCCTTGCCCCACACCCTTTTTCATTTCTAGCACTACTCAAGAGGTTGCGTGGAGGAGCCCAGGGGAGTAGGTTTACATACCTGCTTTAATTGCTCACCTTGGGCGGAGCAGTGTCCTAAATAAACTTTAGTTTTGCCACAGCACCATTACTCAACAAAGTATTTTTACAAGTGTCACTTAATAATACAAAAATAAATAAGGCACTTAAACTTGTTATTGAGGAAAGAAGCTTTAGCTGCCCACTTTCTGTACTCAGGGTCCAATCTCGCTTCACTTGTGCTTAGAAAACTCTTCAGGAGTTTGCTTTAAAGAAAATCAGTTAGAGCATAAGTGCTGTGAGCCAAGTCTAAGTACCTTTACCCTTGAAAGGATTAGTTCCTTTATTAATTATCAATAACAAGGAATTTTGTCATTTTTATCAATACTTTCCAGTCATAACTATTCATAGTGTAACTATGTACTCAATGGTTTCATAAATATCAAAAACATATATATGTAGTACTTAGCCATAGATGGGAAGAGAAACAAATGTTCAAAATTCCAAGGAAATGATGTGACTCTGCATGATTTTTTCCCTACTTTATAGAAACTTCACAGAATTTTTATATGCACTTTCAGATCTATGACTTTTTTGTATCACGGCAACAATTCTGTGACGTTAGAACATGTATGCTGTCTCCATTTGGCAGATGGGGAAATGGAGGCCCACAACCTTGGCTGGGGTCACAGATAGCACATGAGAGACTACAAGTAGAAGTCAGGTCTTCTGATTCCTTCACTATAAAAATTGGGTGACTTTTTTCCCCAGTGTTTTTTCTTCACTATAAAAATTGCCTCTGTAGCAAGAGCCAGGGATGTAATTGAGAGGCATGGATCTTTTCCACCTTGGTCTTTGAAAGACCTGTGAGCTAATAGTATATGCAAGAGAGGACACTTACTGCCTAAGAGATTGATTACCTACATTCAGGGCAACCCGATGATGCACCCTGATAAGAGAAGGGCCTGTGTAAAGGTCCTAATTTGTTTTAAATATCCAGAGTTCCTGATAGGGAGGCAGGGTGTGGTAATTATATATCTAACGTTTGGCTAATTGTCTCCATATCCTCACCTTCACAGATGTCTTTCAAACATTGATAATTACAGGTTTCAGACCCAAAGCCTACAAATTCATAATCCACACAGATGACATACTAAAATATACTCAAACTTGTAAGTCTGAAGACAATTTCAGCACTATTGGACTTACATTAAGAGAAAACTGCTTAAAAAGAGGTACCCTTTATTTCTATGTCATAGCTATACTTTACCACATAGATGTGTCATGGTTTCACCGTGATCTGAGGAAGTGCACATAAATTCATTTGCCTCTAAATGTAATCAAAATTAACAAAACAAGTAACAAAAAAGAAAGAGTATGTAGATAACCCCATAGGAGTAAAACTGACTCAAATTAATGAAACCAACTTGAAACAATGAAGGAGCTGCTTCTAAGTAAGATAAAGAATCAGAACCAAGAAATAAGTGCAGCACAGAAAAGCAGTCATCCTTGTCATGATGGGCTACAAGTACAACCCGAGTTAATTACATCATAAGTTCTTTTTAAGAATTCAAGCCAAGCATTGTGGCTCACACTTGTAATCCCAACAGCTTGGGAGGCTGAGGCAGGAGGGATTGCTTGAGACAAGAAGTTTGAGACCAGCCTGGGCAACATAATAAGACCCCATCTCTAAAAAAAAAATTTAAAAATTTACCAAGCGTAGTGGTGCATGGCTATAGTCCCAGCTATTTGGGAGCCTGAGGCAGAATCATCACTTGAGTCCAGGAGTTTGAGGCTGCAGTGAGCTATGATAGTGCCACTGCACTCCAGCCTGAGTGAGATCCCATGTCTGTAAAAAAAAAAAAAAAAAAAAAAAAAAAAATTAAAAGAAAAGAAGGAAAGGAAAGGAGAAAGAAAGAAAAAGAGAGAAAGAAAGAAATTAAAATAAGAATCCAGCAAGTTCTTGCTATAGTGGCGTCAACATAACAATAAATAAGGTGTACTCTTACACCTTACACCACAATCTCTATCACCACCCAGAGCAATTATAATAAATCCTGCCTAATTTGGGGTCCCACAATTTAGGATGGTCTTACATTTAATAAAGAATTATGGATGTAGACTCTAGAAAAAGTCAAATGATTTAGCTTTATTTAGTTTGCAGAAGAAGTTCAAGGAGGGGTTAGTCATGGCCTTCAGGTATATTTAGTGCCATAGATATTGGTGTTTGGGGATTTTTCATCATAGAAAGAATGTAAGGAAATTAGTTAAAGATTTAAGAGGAACAGGGTAAATAAAAGCATATGTTCAGCATTCACACTGCTATGCACTCTATGTATACTATCTCATGGAATCTTCACAGATACCCTGCAAGACTGATAGAAACCAAGAATGAGGAGGTAGAAAAGTCAAGGTTAAAGTCAAAGGTCAAAGTCCTTTACCTCGTATTTGGTCTTAGGGTCTGTTTACTTCCAGAGTCTGTGCTACAGGACCAACTCACTGTAATGCTACATTGGGCAGTGTTATGAAACTTTCTGCTATCATTAAATTCAAGAATAGTTTCTAGAGACATATATCTAGGATAGTGATACAGTCCTGTCTGAAAATAGAAAAATGGACTATATTCCTCTGAGGCCACCTTCAGCCCTGCAATTTTAGATTAAAATTCAGATCAATAGAGCTTTAGTCAAAGGCTTTTACTGGGCACATTTTTTTAATCATTAAAGATCTGAGGCCTATAGCATGAGTAAGACTTTAGCTATTTATATTTAAAGTTTCCTCCGCCTACTTAAATATCCAACATTGAGAAATTAGTCTAATAAATTAGAGTATATCCATATAATGAAATTTTGTGTTATTGTTAGAATTATGTGGAAGAAATTTTAATGACATAAGAAAATGTCGATGACATATTATCAAGTGAATTTAAAAAACCAGAAAAACCAAACTCAACTGTAAAGTATGTTTCTAATTGAATTTAAATATGTATTTACATATGCACATATAAAAACAACTGAGAGAACATATGCCAAAACATTAATAGTAGTTCCCTGTGGTTAATGGGATAAAGGATGACTTTTATTTTCATCTCTGGTCTTCTTTACATTTTTCTAAACTGAACATGTCCTACATATATTATTAGAAAGAATGCTTTGCACATACCACACACACACGTAAAATGATTTTCTGCAAAGGTTTTAAAATTTAGAATAGAATAACATTGTATTAGGAATGGAATTTTGTATAGGGTGAGGAAGAATTTATTAAATAGCATAGAGCCCATTGTTAGCAGCAAACTGTCACTCTGTCCAACACTGGAAATAAAATCAGCTTTTCATATAATTTCTTTCTTTTTTTTTGAGATAGAGTCTCACTCTGTTGCCCAGGCTGGAGTGCAGTGTCACAATCATGGCTCATTGCAACCTCTGTCTCCCAGGCTCACGTGACCTCTCACCTCAGCCACCTGAGTAGCTGGGACAACAGGCATGCACGACAACACCTGGCTAACTTTTGTGTTTTTTGTAGAGATGGGGTTTTGCCATGTTGCCCAAGCTGGCCTTGAACTCCTGACCTCAAGCAATCCGCCTGTCTAAACCTCCGAAAGTGCTGGGATTACAGGTGTGAGCCACTGCATCTGGCCATAATTTCTTATTATGCTAAACTATCATATATAACTATCAGAATTCTTTTAGCCCTTGCCTAAAACCCTCTACTCAGAAGGCACACAGAAGACACACAGCTAAGCACATGATACTATGTGTATAAAATGAAGGTAATAATCATACCTAGCTCATGGGGTTCTTACAGCTTAAGATGTAAATAAAATCATACTTCTAAAGCTAGGCCTAGCTCAGTGCCTAGAATATAGTAAGCACTCAATAAATGTTATCTTGTTAGTTATGTTCTTATTGTTAGCTAAAGAACAGGAAAATTCTGCAAAAAAATGGTTGTCGATCTAAGAATTTCCTATCAGCCACCTGGCACACATACTTAGTTTTAAAATAGTCTTGCAGTTAATGTAGATGGCATCTAAAGGAAACTTTGACACATCGTAATTCTATAGCTCATTTCATTCTCCATACTTATCAAGGTTTTAATGAGTAATGAAAACAGGAAATGAAGTCATAATATAATTCAATTTTTAAAATCATTTTTTCTGTTTATATTACCAAAAATGTTTGCAATATCAATAAAATGTTAGAACTTTGTAATTACAATGTTATTTGAATTTTTATTTTAATGTAATTATTTATTATATTTGTCTCTCTGGAGATAATTTTTAGTTTTATTTGTGATTAAAAGCAGCTTTGAATTTAGCTATGTCCTTTACTATAATACAAAGAAAAAGCACATCTAAGTTCTTTGCAAATATCATTGTCCATTTGGGCACACACACACACCACAGACTTGTCTCAATATATTTTATTTTCTATTTTTTTGAGACAGTCTCACTCTGTCACCTAGGCTGAAATGCATTGGCATGATCTTTGCTCTCTGCCATTTCTGCCTCCCAGGCTCAGGTGATCCTCCCATCTCAGCCTCCCTAGTAGCTGGGACCACAGATGCACACCACCACACTTGGCTAATTTTTTGTATTTTTGGTAGAGATGGGGTTTTACTATGTTGCCCAGGCTGGTCTCAAACTCCTTAGCTCAAGTGATCTGTCTGCCTCAGCCTTCCAAAGTGTTGGGATTACAGTCATGAGCCACAGCACCTGACCTCAATATTGTTCTGGGTTATGTCAAGCCTTGCCCAGCTACTCAGAAGGCTGAGACAGGAGAATCTCTTAAATCCAGGAGGCAGAGGTTGCAGTGAGCCAGGATTGCACCATTGCACTTCAGCTTGGGCGACAAGAGCAAAACTCCATCTCGAAAAAAAAAAAAGGTGTGTGGCATCTCCCCACTATATCTCTCTTCCTTCTGCTCTGGCCATGTGAAGTGCTTGTTTGCCCTTTGCTTTCTGCCATGACTGTAAGTTTCCTGAGGCCTCTCCAGAAGTTGAGCAGATGCCAGCATCATGCTCCGTATAGCCTGTGAAACTGTGAGCCAATTAAACCTCTTTTCTTTATAAATTACCCAGTCTTTGGTTCTTTATAGCAATGCAAGAATGGACTAATACACTCATCTAGCTTGTTTTCCAGCTAACAGGTTTATTTTTGGCCCAAGGAAGCAGGACACTGGGGAAGACGGGGAGGTGCTCAGAGGTGGCTCAATAAACCATAATCATTTAGGACACAGCTGGATAAACTGATTCCACCAATGATGATAGGGTCCCATACTTTCTTGCATAGGCTCAGTGTGATTCTTTAACTTAATGAAAATTTCACATTTTAAACATTTATTTTATGTTTCTTTCTGTTTCTATCACATGCTTTACAGATAATCCATTTTAAAGCAAGAAAGCAAGATAATTCAAGGTAAAAATTCAAAGGGGGAAAGGATGGGAGTCTATGAAAGTTTGTTCCCTTACCTTCTCCCACTTACAGCTAATTTATATTTGACGAAGTAGTGGTTGTATGTATATATTACTCTTGTGGATAAATAGGGGATATCTATTTCTCTTCCCTAGGGAAAAATGTATGACTGCAAATTTGGAAACTAGACAGGATCTGCCAATACAGGGCAGAATGTTAAAAAGAGGATGAATTTTGATTTCAGAAAATTTAGAAGAAAATGGATTTCTCAGGCAACTGAAAGAACATATTTGGATCTGTTAAGACTAAGGGAGGCTTCAAGAGAACAGGACTTTGTGTTGGACAGACTATCTGTGACAGGGAAAAAACCCCTTCTCAATGATTAGGGACGAATCAGTTAACTGGCTTGAGTTTCACATTCTTCATCTGTAAAATCTGGTGATTAGACTGGCCCAGCAAAAGATATAATACACATAAATTGGAATGAATCTGCATTTTCCAAGCCTGATGAATTTATTAAAACTGAATTAAGTCACTAACTGGCAGCCTGAAGATGCAAGGAAAGAACTGAGTCATGCTTCTTAAGGTAAAAGGGCAGTCTAACTGAGAATTTTGTTATCTCTGAGGACAAATTACAAGGAGATAAAGACACTCAAGATCACATGGAAGGCTTCTGCTCCCACTTAGAGACTGCAATGTAAGGTATGGAAACAGAATATTCTCTATAGAAACATAAATGTTAAAATATGAACATTTTTGTTCTTATTTCAATCCAAAAATAAATAAATGAATTAAATGTCAAAGATAGCCATTCTAATTTGGAACTTCTCTGTTCATAACCTATTATGTAGTGGGTACTAAAAATCTGTTCATGGTATATGACTGAATACTGTCTATGAAATGTGTAGGTGTTAAATAAATGCCATGGTTTATTTATTATAAGAAACTTTTTACATTTTAACATCTCTGAAATGTGGATAAAATTTTATTTTATTTTATTTTATTTATTTTTGAGATGGAGTTTCACACTTGTTACCCAGGCTAGAGTGCAATGGCACAATCTCGGCTCATTGCAACCTCCACCTCCCCGATTCAAGCGATTCTTCTGCCTCAGCCTCTCCAGTAGCTGGGATTACAGGCCCCTGCCACCACGCCAACCTAATTTTTGTATTTTTAGTAGAGACAGGGTTTTACCATGTCGGCCAGGGTGGTCTCGAACTCCTGACCTTAGGTGATCCACCCACCTCGGCCTCCCAAAGTGCTGGGATTACAGGTGTGAGCCATTGCACCCGGCCCTGAAATTTGGATAAAATTTTAAATGAATGGCTTGTTGTTGTTTAATTGGCAGCATCGTTTTTCTTGGCACCACTTAAAGCTTAAAGTTCCTCCTGACAATGCTTTTCCTTTTTGCTCACAAGACCAGACATTCTCATGAATGTTTCTTTAGCATTTTCCAGCTTATCCTAAGATAATTCACAAATATTAAAACATCTATGATGTCCCTATTGAAGACAGTTCATCCAATACCTCATGATTTGATTAAATACTTCATCAAATCTAAGATACCATCATAAATTGTGCCATTATTTTAAGTGGTGCCAAGAAAAAAATCCCTTTGTATTGTGCTAGAATTCAGTGATACACGGCAACCCCTGGAAAAGATTAATTTACCTTAATAATGTCCATAATAACAGATACAATACGTTTTCCAGGCATTATATTTATCCATGGTTTGACTGTAAAAGGTCTTGTACTTTTAAAAGATCTATAACCTCATAAGATTCATGTAAAGTAAATGTATTTTTTAAAACATAACTAAAGCATTTTTGTCACCCTATTTATATCAGCCCAAAACAGCATCAGTTCTTCAATAAGGGCTTCAGAGAGCTTAAGTTAAAGGAACAAAGTAGTCAATTAGTTAGTACTATGGCAGATTTAAACCCAAAACTTATTGTTTTAAAAAGATGAATATATATGCACACACACACATCATATACAGGTATGTAGATAAGGCTTGGAAGGGTGTGTCACAAGTTGTTATTTTGGAATGGAAAGTATCTGAGTTTGTTTTTTCCTCATCTGTGTTTCTAAATTTTGCCATAGTAAGCATGTATTGCATTTGCAGTAATTTTAAAAAGCAATAAGTATGATAGCATTTCCCCTTCCCCCCTTTTTTTTCACAGTTAAACAGTGGGTACTGTAAAGTACAGCTGGCATAGTTAAGGATGTATCTTCAAAGATGCATTGGCTTAATTTTTTTCCTACAAAGTTACAGGCACCATCCAGTCCAGCCACAAAGCCCAATTTAGAGTTAGCCCTACATGAGACAGTGGGGGCCCACAAGCTAATGTAGAAGAAATAATCTTCCCTCCCTATTGATAGACATGGTGACTTCTACACATTTCTATGTGTTGACAATATATGCATACACTTGCAATTTGCCTTCTCTGGCCAGGCCACAGAAGAGGGCAATTCACTTAAATGCGTAATTTTCTTTTTCTTCTTTGTTTTGCATACAAATATATGTAACAGTTTTATTTATAATACCCCAGAACTGGAAAGAAGCCAAATGTCCATCAACATGTGAATGTATAAACAAATTGTGTACTATCCATACAATAAAATACTACTCAGCAATAAAAAGGAATGGGCTACTGGTACAGGTAACAACAAAATGCATAATTTTCTTGACCTGGGTTTTTTTCAGAATGCTGGAGCTGAAGAGTCATTTATTTATTTGATGTCACTTTAGTTTGTTAAAGGATAAAACCCTTTTAGTACAGGCTTTTCTCCTACCATAACCACATTTATGCCAAATTAAAAATATTGGTAAGCCTCTTTGAAAATCAGTTGTAGAATAAATAAAATGTCTTTTGTTTAGCTATTAACACGATTTTAGGATGCTGTGCCTTCTTTACCACCGTGTATTTGTAGAAAATTATATTTCTGCTTTTTATATTATTCATAAATAAAAGTCAGTATTTTTCAGTTCTTCTTCAAATCATGTTATTAACATTTATTGAAATATAGCTTTCTTCTTTCATCTTAGGTGTATAATCTCATCAGCTTTGCAGGAAAAACAGATACCCTTAGGGTCTGAATTGGCATTTGAATAGATAAGCTCACTTTTAGTCCATGCCTAATAATATTACATTATTGTTTAGGAAGAGATAGCAAGCTATGTCATATAAATTTTTATATACTCTTTCTGTCATCGAATAACAACTGAATTATCCTACTGTTAATAGGATTCATATAAAACTGTGGATGATGTCTAGCTACTCTATTTTTGCCAGAAGGAGAACACAGATAAACATTATGCCATGGCCATCATTTCAGTGACTTTAGGAACTTATATGCAGTTAGTGCCTCTTCACATACTGCTCACAAAGCATGTTCTCCAGTGATTTCAGAGAGATAACAAGAGGGACTCCAAAGGAGAATTTACTGAATGTTTGTGAAATTTGGGGCAATAGAGCCTCTCTAAGTCTCAGTATCCTCCCTGGTGAAAGAAAGATGATAATTCCTTCCTCACAGGATGGTTGTGACTACTAAATGGGATGATGCAGTTAGACAAAAACAGTTTGTGAAGCACTATGTTGGTATTATTATTATTGCATAAATATGAACAATGAGCACAGTAGGCCAGACCTTATTAAAGTCAGTACTTTAGATGGTGTACAAGCACACAGAGTAGCCAGGGAGTAGGCTCTGGAGAGGGGTACAGACGGGACAGGCTGAACACTATTGACCCTGGAATTACAAAACCCACTGCCAGAATATCCTGGTTTGCAGTACCAATCATGTTCATTCAAGGTAAAGGGCACACTCTGCCTCTCTCATAACAAAGGAATTCCTCCTCTGACAAAGATGCTGATGTCACACAATTTAGTATCAGTAAACATGGGCGTATTAATGGAAAGGAGGAGGTTAGCATTCTCTTGAGGGAGTTCAAGGAAGCTTTTCCAACTGGGAATTGAGGTTGGTGGGGAAATATGACTTAAACAGCTAATGGGCATTAACTAAATACACCACAACAAAGGCTGGCCAGATAAAATATAGATGAACTATCCCTGTCTCCACATGCACACCTAACACCTGTTAACATAGCAATTGTGCACCCCAAGTAAGGGAGTTAAAGATAACTGATTAGATGATTCCATTGTCCTCAGTAGGAAGATACCTGGTAGCTGAAAAGCTCCGCTCTATTTTCTGTTAGCAGAGATTCTACTACCATCATCTTCTTGTTTTGCAGCAACGGAGACAAAGGGGATTTTCCTGAGCAGCGTCAGTAACAAAGAAATGAGGCAAATTATTAAGAAACTGATGGGCATTCATTGAAGAGCAACAAATATGATTTATAAGTCTGAAGGGACTGCCTTCAGAGGGAAGACGAAAGAGACAAGTCTCCCAGCATTACCACGTGGCTCTAACGGGACTGGCTCATCGGTCACAAGTACTTGAAGGGTGTAAATAGCGGGCACAGAGAGAAATTATTTAGTGTCCAAGGAGACAGCAGGAAGAGTGATGGAAATGAAAGTCAAAACAAAGATGATTTAGGCAGCTGAACGAATCACATGCCCTAATGGAGGGATCTATTATAGGCTGTACGGCATCATCCCTTGGGAAGGGTGGAAACCCCATCACTTGCGCCATTTACAATTGGAAAAGGCATTAAAAAGTAGATCGGCATGTCGGAGAGGGAAAAAACACCACAGGTCCTCAGAGAATCAGTGGGATGACTTAATAGGTCTTCTCCATCTCAAATTACTGTGATGTAGTTTGTATGCTTGGGGACCTGAGGTGCTAGAATAATTTTTCCATCATTTGGGCTTCTTTACTATTACTACAAGTCCTCGTTGAAGAAATGATAACGGGTCATGGAATGCAGTTTCTGCATTGTAAGTGGAAGCCCACAGTGTACTGATGCTTTAGCATGAAGGCAGAACTGACTACGATAAGTTTCGCATTGTGACGTCAGTGTAAATAAATACAAACATAATACCAATGAAGTCCCAAAACAACATACATATATTGATTGAGACCAAAGGCAGAGGGAAAGGACCTTTGTCACAGATGGTGGCTGACTAAATGAAAATTCAAGTCGTTTATTCTCTCATCTAGAAAAATACATGTCTAAATACTTAAAGTCTATCTTTACAAAAAAAGAAAAAAAAATGGCCTTAAAACTATCAAGAAACATTTACTGTGTAGGAACTTTAGGACCCATATTTTGAATGTGTGCTGTATTTCTGTCCACAGCTGCAGTTGTAATTAGCAACTGACACATTCTGAAACCCATGGTGGCCCAGAAGAGCACATATGTGCACAGGCTGTGCCAACCTGGGGCAATAACTGCAACTGAAAGGAACGGGCATAGCTTGGTCAGATGGAAACTGGGGCAGGCAGAGAAGGGCTGGTGTTACTGTGATTACTAGAAGGAGCACAGCTGTGACCATCTCAACCCTTCTCAGCCAGAGGATGACACGGAAGCAGGGGACAAAAATGGCAAGAGGGTGACAGGAGGGAGAGGCAGCGAGAAAGAAAGCAAAAGAATCCAGAGAGGGAAACCCACAGATGCAAGCTCTTCGCAGGTGGAGGATATCACAGATCCTGATAAAAATATTGTATGTGGTTGAGCACAAGTGAAACTTGGCGTTCTAGAAGACTGAAGTTTGCAACAAACAAATTCAGGGTTTGACCTACACCTGACAGATATAGGTCAACCCTCATCCTGCTGCTCTCAGCAGCTGTAGCCAATAGGAGACAGTGCTGCCCAGCATGCCGGTTTAAGCTGCTGCTAATAGAGGGAAATCAACCTAACCCCATATTTCCTGCTTCTGCAGTCCTCACTTGTCTATTCATGGCCAACTCAGGCACAGGCAGAGCTCCTGGCTTGCTGTAACTGCTGGATGATTGATAAGTGGAATCTGGTGCTAGCATATATATTCCCACCTCATCTAGCTAAAAAATCTGTTGTAAAGCCTTTTAAGGAAGGACCATTAAAATTCAATATTCCCTCATTAACCTAAATGTTTTCTTAAATTCATATAACCAGAAGAGACTTACTAATTCTTCACACCAACAGAACTTTAGAGATGTTTAGAGAGAGGAAATTCCGTGACAAAGGCCTATTTTTGAAAGGATACAGCAGAAGTTGAGTGACTTATCCCATGTTACTTAGAGGAACCAGTTAAGGCAGAAAGAGAACTGACGGAGTGGTCTAAGTGAGGAAATTATGAAATTAAATCTGAAGAAAGAACATCATCACCAAATCACATTGGGTTAAATATCTATTGGCAATCCCAGTTCAGTAACACACATTCCTTTATCCTACATGTTCAGACTAGTGTTAAAAGCCGGGCGCGGTGGCTCAAGCCTGTAATCCCAGCACTTTGGGAGGCCGAGACGGGCGGATCACGAGGTCAGGAGATCGAGACCATCCTGGCTAACACGGTGAAACCCCGTCTCTACTAAAAAAAAATACAAAAAACTAGCCGGGCGAGGTGGCGGGCGCCTGTAGTCCCAGCTACTCGGGAGGCTGAGGCAGGAGAATGGCGTGAACCCGGGAGGCGGAGCTTGCAGTGAGCTGAGATCTGGCCACTGCACTCCAGCCTGGGCGACAGAGCGAGACTCCGTCTCAAAAAAAAAAAAAAAAAGTGACTTCAGATATTTCCTATGCTCATGTTTTTTAAAAAAATGTCCAACCATTCTCCTCAACGAACATGACATTAAATCAAGCTAAGTCCAGTCATAGGGCCTCAACTTTACTCACTAAAGCTAGCAGGCAAGGGCCTAGTGAGTTGAATTAGAGGTTTAATTAGAAGAACAAGCAATAAATGCTAAATGTCCTGTTGCAACTATGTAACTTTCTGTGGGATTTTATGCCTTGTATCTTTTTTTTCCTGAATTCCAGGCCAATGGGGCTGCACTAGAACCCCAGAAGCAGAGAATTCCATAACTCAGACTCTTTGATTCGGTATTTTTCTTTTCATCACCTTGAGAGAGCAAATAAATCCCCCAAACTACTTTTCCCACCTCTCAAGCTTCTAGCGGATATTTTTGACTGGAATTTGTCCATGTTCTGAAATAACAGGTTACTTCACGTTCTTTGTGTTTAAATAAATGTAATTAGGCCTGTTTTTAAAAACTATGGAAAATATTAGAAAATAAAAGAAAATAAAAATCATCTATAAACTTACCACTCAGTGGCAGCCACATGAACGTTTGTGTTTCCTTCGTATTTCTACACATATGTATACTTTCCAAAATTTGTCATAAATGTTCTAAAGGTGTTTCATATATTGCCAAATTGCCCTCCAGAAAAGTTAAACCAATTTATAATCCATTTTCAGTGAATGGTGTAATTTTTAAAAGCCAGCTTTAAATTTGAGTTGAAAAATGATGCCTCACAGCTGTCTTTATTTTCTTCTATATCCCTCACTCCGAAAGTTGACCATTTCTTTCCTGTGGTTATGGCCAATTACAGTGGACATTGTGTTTCACTCCTCAACAACCATGTAGTTTCTGGAATTGACCCCAGCTCTAGAAATGAGTCCTGATTACTATTGAACCAAGCATAGTAATCCAATCTCTTTTGCTAGTGAAAGGTTCAAAATCAAAACATGGCATTCCTCTGACAGGAGATTTAATCCAGGTTGGTCCTAATCTGAGTCAATAAGGCTGAGAAGCAGCACTTGTATTTCGTTGCTAGAAAACAGATTCTAAGGCCGGGCGTGGTGGCTCACACCTGTAATCCCAGCACTTTGGGAGGCTGAGGTGGGTGGATCATTTGAGGTCAGGAGCTCGAGACCAGCCTGGCCAACATGGTGAAACGCTGTCTCTACCGAAAATACAAAAATTAGCCGAGCGTGGTGGCAGATGCCTGTAGTTCCAGCTACTCGGGAGGCTGAGGCAGGAGAATCGCTTGAACCAAGGAGGTGGAGGTTGCAGTAAGCCAAGAAAAAAAAAAAAAAAAGAGAGATCCTATTTCTCCTCTGATGAATGTGAACAGGAAAGCATATTGTCCCCACATGCTGCTGGGTGTTATCTTGTGATCCTCAGAGAAGTCAACCTGACTTTCTGGTTACATGCAAAAATATATTATTTCCTTACTGTTTAGGTTAGTTTGATTTGGGGTTCCAATATTTACAGTGAGAAGCTGTCAGAACCCTTTTTCTTTATGGGATTTTCTGGAGTTTTTTATTTTGTTTTTGCCAATTCCTATTAGGCATTATCAGTATTTTTATTATTGATGTGGTAAGAACTCTACTGAGGATATAATCTTTTTTGTCTGTATATTATGACTGTATCTCCAAGTTTATCACTTGTTCATTATGTGCTATGTACTCTTATTTAGTGCAGAGAAGAATATAGTCTTAATGTAATTAAATATACCAGTATTTTTCTTTGTGATATATTCCATTGCTTTTACTGTTATTCATTCACTAATGAGTGTGTGTGTGTGTGTGTGTGTGTGTGTGTGTGTATAGCAACCACAAGTTTCCAGGCTATAATACACAAGTGAGCCAAAAAAAAAGATACAGTCCCTGTCTTATATCCTAGTTTATATCTTAGTGGGGAGATTGAGGGTAAGGCAGACATTAAACTGAAAAGTCACACAAAAATGAGTGTGAGATGCCGGTGGATAGATCCTAGAAAGAGAACGTACACAACATATGAGAGCTCTAATAGGAAAATTAGGCCGAACTAAGGAAACCAGGGGAAGCTTCCCTGGGGAAATGGTGAATGAATGATGAATGATGAAAAGGAGTTAGGTAGCTGGGTAAGGGCATTACAGGTAGTGGAAATCACAGGTGCAAAGGTCCTGCTCAGGAACAAGCACAGAAATATGAGGGATGAAAGAAAGTAAATGTCACCAGATCCTGAGAGAGGCTTGGTATAAGATGAAGCTGGAAAGGTTGAGAGGTTGGGGGATGAAGCTGGGAGAAGCTGAATATGCAGGGTTAATAAGTCCATGTTAAAGAGTTCTGCCTCCTTCCTAAAATCTATGGTGTCATCTTTGACAACCATATTACCTTTACCCCCAATATCCAATTCTATCAAACCCCCAAATCCTATCAATTTTGGTTTCTACGTATCTCTTTAATCTATCCACTTTAATCTGTCAATTTCTCTTCACATTTACCAACAGTGCTTTAGTCCATTCTATCATCATTTCTGCTTGCACTAATGGAACAGGCTCCTCATTTATCTACTAGCTCCTACTCTTGCCCCAGTTCAATCCATTCCATGGTAATGAGAATTCAGACTGACATTGATAGCATTTGATGACATAAGATAACATTAGAAGATCTAATGTATAACAGGAGGGCTCCATGAAATAATATTGTACTGTACTTGAGATTTTCCCTAAAAGAGTAGATTTTAGGTGCCACATACAAAAAACGAGTAATTTTGTGAGATAATGGATGTTAATTTGCTTGACTATAGTAACCTTTTTACTTTCTATATGTGTATCAAAACATCATGTTGTACACCTTAAATAGATACAGTAAAATTTTTAAAATAAGAAATGCAAGAAAATAAACTTGCTAACAAAAAGAAAGAAAACACTGACAAAGGACCAGTTTGGATTTTTATTAGTTTGTCTTTTGAGAGGAGAGGGTATGCAGTGGGCAGTTCATGAGCTCAGTTTTGGACCCATTGAATTTGAAATGCTCTTGGGATGTCCTGGAGAAGAAGCCAGGTAGGAGGTGAATACTAGGTGGATATCTTCTGCTTTCCCTCATAGAGCCACTCTCCACCCTTCTCTGTTCTGCTGTATCCAGAGAGACTGACCTGTATGAAATGAATCAACATCTCATGTATCCTCAGCACCTGGTTCCCATATTCTCTGGCTTCTAGTTAGGTTCAGCCAATGGGAGGTAGAAGCAGAAGACTGAAGAAAGAGTGTTGAGGCTGATTATTTATTCCATATTATCTCCATACTGCATTCTCTCTTCCCCTTCCTTCTCCTGCCCTTCTTCCCCACCTTCTCCTACTTCCATCACTCCTTTGCCACCTCCTCCTCTCTCTCACTCTCATTCAGTAATCATTTCCACCTCCTTCCTTGTTTAGGCTTAAAGTAGTAATGTTCCCTGGGATACTGTACCATTATCTTTTGTTGCTTTCCCTAAACCCTTTGTAAATGATCTCTTAACTAAAGTCTTCTTAATTACCCATTTTGAATGTGCCATACATTTCCTGCATGGATCCTGACTAATACTGAAAAGTTAGAAATGGCTAGGCTGGAGTTTGAGAGTTACCTGACAGGAGGTGGTAACTACAGCCATGGGCATAATGATAATCCTTGGGAGACGGTGTACAGAAGGAATGGGCCCAGAGGAACTCAAACATATAATGGTCTCTGGGGGAGGATAATCCTGCAAAGTCACTGGAGAAGTAGTGGCCAAAGTGGTAAGAGAAAAATTAGGGAAGTGTTGTGAAAGCCAAAGGAAGCAAAGGGAATTAAAAAAGGGTTTGCAGTCAAGACTATCAACTGGTGCTACAGTCATTGGATTTAGTGACTTACCACAACCTGAATCTGTTACATATTTTCTGTGTTCCCTTGTAGTTTATAATGCTTTTAATTTTTTATATTTCTTTAACTTATCTAGAATTTATTTCGGAATACAGTTTAAGGTGAAAATTTATCCTTCTTTAGCCATTATTCCAACATCATTTACTAAATGATTCATCACTTTCTCTGTTACAATTACTTCATCATATACTATTTTTAAAAGTACAAAGTGATGCCTAAGCACTTTCTATTGGATGTTTAAGAGCTTCCTATTTAACTATCATTGTGGAAAGGGTTGTCACTTTCATACATTTCAATATCCTTTTGAGCAAGTCTAACTTCTTATTTCTTAATTTTCAGAATTCTATTATTAATAGTCCCATTTATTCTTACAGATGAACCTCAGAACCATTTTATCAATTAAAAAGTCCACTTGGATTTTGTTTGGGATTGTTTTAATCCTACAAATTAAATTGGGAGGAGTTTAACTTTATTATATTTAGCCAGAAACTTCACACACACACACACACACACACACACACACACACACACCCCTACTTATCATCAAGTCTTTTTTTAGCCGTAAGAAAAGAATAAGGAGCATATTTTGTGAAGGTCATTGCCAAATATTTTATATTTACATTCTTCTGTCTGATTTTTCTTAGACATTCTTTGTTATTCTTTCTCTGACATGGTTTTGATATAACAGTAATAATGTCTGTGGTAGAAAACTAAGAGAAATTAAGAAAGTACATTGAATATAATCCTAACATCAACCCCCAGATCCCAACATTGTTAACTTTTTGTTGTACCTACTAAACACTTTTTTTTTTTTCCTGAGGCAGGGTCTCAGTCTGTTGCCCAGGCTGCAGTGTAGTGGCACAATCATAGTTAACTGCAGCCT